CGAGCTCCTCGTCTCGGGGGAACGGTCTTGGACTGTAGCTGCTGAGGCGCCTTTAAAACTCCTCACTCCCAGCGGCTTACAAGAAAACAGTTCAAACCAGTTAACAAAGACAGGAGACTGGCACAGCTGGTGATACACTTGAGCGTATATAATACCTTTAGAAGTAGCTGCACAAAATCACTTCAGATGGAAAGTAAAAGAACAGTCAAAGCACACAGTGACGCAGAGCTGGCACGATGCACCGAGGGACTGGCCACAGGCACCGACCCCATAACAGCAAGGCCGGTGTGGGAGGAGGAGTTTTGAGTCTGGGCTTTTCTCCGTGTCTGTCTCCCAGCCTCGGGAACGTTCCCCCTGAAAGACGCCCGCGAGAAGCTCACGCAGAAGGACGCGCGGCTCCGGATCCGGGGCGCGGTGCAGGACGCCAGGGAGATGATAAACTCCCGGAAGCAGCAGCAGCAGCACGGCCAGCCGGCCGCCGTCAGGACGGCGCAGATCCCCCCGCACCAGCAAGGGTTAAACTCCCGGGTGGGCGGGGCCCCGGCAGTGGGCGGGGTCAAGAAGGTGGTGGACGCCCGCGATAGGCTGAGCCTCAAGCGGAGCATTGCAGTGGCCACGCCCACCGTGGGGGCGGCCATGCCCACCGTGAAGATCACCAAGACGATACAGGTAGGTTACTGCCTGCGCTGGCCGTGTCCGGTGTCCGGTGTCCGGTGTCCGGTGTCCGGTGTCCGGTGTCCGGCAGCTCTCACAGGTCACCCCAGGCCACCCACCCACTGGCACTGCTGACCACAGATGGACCGCTCCGCGGGCCTTGAACTGGGTGATTTATCAGTGGCCCGTAGATCCTGCGGGACTGGGGCTCGGTCCCCCTGTTGGGAGCGCCGAGGCGTCCCAGAGCTCCCAGGCGCGTCTGGGGAGGTCACCCTGGCCTGACACTGCCCTGCACTCTGACCCCTCTCCCTCTCCCTCTCCTCTGGCAGCAGAGGCCCGTGGGACTGACCAGCGGCGTCCGGATCAACATGGCGACGCGATCGGTGCCGGGACCGCAGGTGCTCTCGGGCGAGGAGGACGAGGGACCCTCCATCATTCCCAGCAAGCAGATGAAGATCACGACGACCAACGACCTGGCGCAGATGCGGGTCAGTGCCGGCCGCGCCGGTGTGGTACACGCCACGCCTCTGCGTGCGTCTGCCTAACCCGTCCCCCCGCCCTCTCTCCCCTGCAGCCAGGAGCCAGTGGTTCCCTGTTCTCCCTCCCTGGGCCCCTGACCAAGGTGGTCCAGAACGACACGTACACGGCACCCCCCTCCGCGCCCGCTGCCCCCCTCCTGACCTCGGGGTCCCAGGCTGCTCCGCTGCGGACCCACGCCCTCCAGGCGGTCTCCCGCACGCTCGTCAACCATCCACAAGGGGGCGGTACAGAGAGCACTGCGAGCACGCCCCCACAGGTACAGTCTGCTCCTGGGCATCTCTCTGTTTCTCATGTCCTTATCATTACTGACACCCCCTCACTCGGTGTGTTTGGATTAACCCCCCCTCTTTCTCTCAGCCCGTCTTCAGTCCATTAGAAGGGACCAAGATGACTGTGAACAACCTGCACTCCCGGGTCACTGAGGAGGACATTGTGGTAAATAGCACTCCTTTACAGTATATTACACTAGTGCAGCACATGACACCTCTGATACAGTGAGTGAATAAGACTCTCTCAGT